AAAAAAAAAAAAAACCTAAAACTATATGCTGTTTACAGGAGACAAACTTCAAAAATGAGAACACAGGAAGACTAAAAGTGAAAGGATAGAAAAAGATATACTATGCCATCACTAACCAAAAGTAAGCTGGAGTGGCTACAGTAATGTGAGGCAAAGTCAGAGTTTATAGGCAAGAAGTATTAGGAGAGAAAGAGCATTTCCCAATTTAAAAAAAAAAAAGTCAAATTCTGCAAAGGGCCAAACTATGGAGACAGTAAAAACATCAGTGGTTAGGAGGGAAGGAGGAATAATTAGGTGGAGCACAGAAGATTTTTAGGGCAGTAAAATTACTCTGTATGATACTATATTGCTGGAAAGATGTCATTATATATTTGTCCAAACCCACAGAATGTACAACACGAGTACCTAATGTAAAAGAACCCTAACGTAAACTATGGACTTGGGGTGATTATGATGTGTCAACATAGGTTTAACAATTCTAACAAATGTATCACTCTGGTGAAGGATGTTGATAATGAGGGAGGCTATGCATTTACGGCAGTAGGGGTATATAGAAAATCTGTTATCTTCCGTTCAATTTTGCTGCAAAACCTAAAACTGCTCTAAAAAATTTAAGTCTATTGTAAAAAAAAAAAAAAAAAAGGGGGGGGGCTGGCCCCGTGGCTTAGTGGTTAAGTGCTTGCACTCTGCTACTGGCGGCCCGGGTTCGGATCCCGGGTGTGCACCGACACACCGCTTGTCCGGCCACGCTGAGGCGGCGTCCCACGTACAGCAACTAGAAGGATGTGCAACTATGACATACAACTATCTACTGGGGCTTTGGGGAGAAAAAGGGAAGAAAAGGAGGAGGACTGGCAATAGATGTTAGCTCAGGGCCGGTCTTCCTCAGGAAAAAGAGGAGGATTGGCATGGCTGTTAGCTCAGGGCTGAGCTTCCTCAAAAAATTAATTAATTAATTAATTAATTAAAGGGGGAGGTGGTCAATTCAATAGGAAGATAATTCTGAATTTGTATGTATTTACCTATCATATATAACTAATAACATAGCTCCAAAATAACTGAAAAGAAAAAAAAAAAAGACAGACAACTCCACAATCATAGTTGGAGATTTTAACAATCTTTCTCAGAATCCAATAGAATAAGATCGCAAAAATCTGTAAGAATTTAGACGATTCAAAAGAAAAGTCCCATGATTTTGTCCCTTAGATGCAAATAATTGTTTTGATTAGGTGAGCCTAAGAAAACAAAGTAATAACTATTCTCTTTCAAACTAGCACAGTCAAGGCTAATTGATTCATAGATGGAACACCACTACCATTATTCCGCACTGAGCTATAGAGACTGTCATTAGTTCCACATCTCACACTGTGGTCATCCATTAATGAATGGGTAAATACCAGGTATCATTCACTCAGGCATTAAAGCTCATAGAGACTGTATTTTGCTATCTCATAAGCCCCTACAAATATAAATTTAGTGAACGGGAAGTCTACATAATTATGACATCGTTCTACCAGCACTGTTATTAATAAATACTACTGATTATTACTGTGTACCAGGCACTGCAAAGCCCTATTTCTCCATATAATGTTTACAACAACCCTTTGATATAATTATTATTATCCTTGTTATACAGATCAAGAAACTGAGGCAGAGACTAAATAATTGGCCTAAGATTAGAACACCTAGTAAGCAGCACAAGCAAGTCAGGATTACAGCCCAGCCACCTGGCACCAAAACCCAAGCTTCTAATTTCTATACTGCTACATTGCTAGACTGTAACTTGTCATCACATGGCCATGATCATTAAGTGTTCCCAAATTTATCAATGAAACACCTACAGAATGACAGATCTCTATAGTCAACTACAAAGAAAATGCAGAATCCACACCAACAAAAGATTAGCTGCACCCATGATGAAGGGTCTTTAGAATCCCACAATGAAAATGAAACAGTAATGGGATTAGCTGCAATACAGGTGGAGAATACAAAGTTGTTTTTGTTTTAAATGGGCAAATAAGTAGCCTTGCTATAAAAAAGGCTCAATCTGAGACTCAAGTAGAGTCTATCTGGCAGTGCACCCAAGTTCCAAGTCTTGGCTTATAATCTTCTATCATAATCTGATTGCTTAATCCAGTAGAATCCAACTACATGTTGGAGTAACAGCATGGTCACAAGTCTAAGATAAACTGTAGCTTCGTAAACAGCAATACTGGAATCACCTGAAAGGTTTTAAAAAAATAGTGATGTCCAGTCCCACCACAAAAATTCTGATTTAACTGGTCTGGGCCATGGCCTGGGCACCCATATTTTATAAAGCTCCCCAGATGGTTCTGATCCAAGAATGAGAACTATCGAGAAAAAGAAGTTAAACAACATATGAAAACAAACAACATCATAACGAAACAGACAAAACCAGAATGTGAAACATTCTACAGGATAACTGACTCAGTCTCTTCAACAAATCAATAGCACAGGGGAAAAACAAGTACACAAAATAAAGAGATTTAAGATAATTTTAGTGTAATGCATGGACCTTGTCTGAGGCCCAATTCAAACTAAATATAAAAAAACATCCAAGGAACAAGGAAAAAATCTAAATATGGACCAGATATATATATCTATACATAGTATCAAGAAATTATGAGTTATTTTATGAACATGATACTGGCACTATGGTAGTATAAGAAATGGTCCTTAAATTTTTTAGAGATGCACTCTGCAGAATTTAGGGATGAAATGCAATGTCTGGGATTTATTTTTAAATACTTCAGTATATAAACCAACGGAATGAAGGAATGTTTGGAATGTTTAAAAACAATACAGCCTGGGGGAGGGAGGTAACAGACGCAACATTCTTTGATAATCACTGAGGCTGATAAAGGGTACCTGGTGGATGGTTCATTTCTATTTTTCTATGTTTGAAGATTTCCATTGATAGTTTATAAAATATATCTCAAATAGAAACCAAAGTAAACATAGCGAATGGGTAACAAATTTGTTTATGGTATATGGGGGTTCATTACATTATTCTCACTTGTGTATATTTGAAATACTTCTTAATAAAATATTTAAAAAAGAAAAAGAGACTTCCTCTGTTTGGAGAACCAGAAGCTACTCCTATACCCTTGACAAAAGAATAATCCTTCTCTACACAGGAAGCTCATCCTCTACCACTTAGTGCTGGGAGGGGGAGTAGAGGGGACGGTAAAGATGAACAGGATACCCACCAGACAGACCACATCAGCCAGGCAATGAGAGATGACATGTCATAGCCACATCACAGGGACATAGCATAGAGATTTTGAATAATTTTAAGTAGAGTTTTAAGCTATTCTAACAGCAAAAGCCAAAAACTATATAAATCTATTTAAAAGGTAACTTTCCCAGTAATTATAGCATTACACTTGTTTCAAACTCTAAGCAATTTTCTCTTCAGTAGCATGACTGCACTGTCATGTCAATAATGCTTTTCTGCTTCACTGAAAACACTACTTTCTCTTATCGAAAGAAGTAAAACAATAAAACACAGCAGTTCTTTAAACACAAGGTTCCTTGACTTAAATCTCAAAATATCAAACTCAAGAAAACGGAAAAACTCTGCCATAATGCAAAATTTTTAGAACTCACTTTCTTGAAAATATTCACTTTTGTTTGCTTCAAAAAACTCTAAGGCAAATATTACAACTGACAATTGCAATAGAACCCTTTGTTACTTTCAAGTGACTTTTAGTATTAACACTTAACTGTTCATATACAGATGACAAATTCCCTTGTTTCCTTTTTGTTCTTTTGCTTAACTAAAGAGCAGTGACCACATCCTACCAACTTCTGCTTACAGGTATTACAACTGTCGTAAAAGATGATTCAGGAGCTTTTTTTTTTTTCTTTCTTTCAGTTGTTTTGCTCATACAACATGCTGAATACAGCCTGGCAACTAAAAAAAATCCTTTGTCCGAATACACAAACTGGCAAAAAAATATTTCCCTGAAAAATGTTCTATTCCACGAAGAACAAACGAGTGGATAAAACCGAATTACACACTGTGAGAACAACTAAAAAAGGTAACAAAGCACAATGAAAAGAGAACTGTCATCTACGTTAACGGTGCTCCAAAAAGAGAAACTGCATCGTTAGAGCCTATGCTCTGTACAGCAAGATCAATACAAAAATTCATCAAAACGTGACAGTTTTCATATCAACAGCTGTTGTACAGTTCAGAGCGGCAAAATGACTGGAGGAGTGGCATATTATTACAGCAGCAAGATTTTTATTGCGCCGCCGAGGGAAGACATAAAAAATGCTCACGATAGGAACACTTCTCCAGCTTTCAGACACCGATGATTCTATTCCCAGGGAACAAGTGGTTGTGAGGCCTGGGCGGGGCAAAGGCAGGCTGGCCAATCAGAGGCCGCGTTGCAAGTCGGGTGCGGGAGGACGGATGAGAGCAGCGTGCTGAGTGGCTGGCGCGCCCCCGCCCACGGGCACGCGCCCCCGGCTCCCCCCGCCGCAGCCGTACCGGGGGACCCACCCCGCCGCAGACCGCGGGGCAGGGTCGCCCCCACGTCCGCCCGCCGCCCCCGCGGCCCTTTCCTACCAAAACAAACCCAGCCGCCCCCAAATCAAACAAAACCTCCGGGGGAGGCCCGCGGCCCCGGCGACGCCCCCGAGAGCGGCGAGGTCCCTCCGCCCCGCGAGAGGGAGCCCCGAAAAGGGGGCGGGGGGCGGGAGCTCGGAAACCCCGGGAGCGACATGTCAAAAGTCTCACCAATTCCTCGTAGCTCCTGTTGTGCTCGTTGCCCTCCCAGTCCAACCTCTTGGGCAGCAGCTGCAAAGACACGGGGCGCACACGAGTGACCACCGCGCGGGGCCGGGGCCAGGTGGGGGCGTTGGGGCGGGGATGGGGATAGGGATGGGAATGGGGATGGGGGGCCCGCCGGGCGGCCGCGGGCAGGCTCGGGAGGGGGCCGGGGGACGCGGAGGGGACGCGGAGGGGACGCGGCGGGCGGGCGGACACCGCGGCACAGACCTGGTACTGCTCCAGCTCCTGCACCAGCACCTGCACCGAGAAGACGCGCAGTCAGGGGGGCGGCGGCTGCACCCGGCCCCCCGCGCCTGGCCCCGCGACCCCAGGCGGCGGCGGGGCTGGGTCCC